TTGCCTGGAAGAGCCCTGTGGGCTGTGGGGCTCTGGGAGAGGCGCAGATCCCTTATGGGATGCTTGGAAAGTGAAACTGAACTTTCTTTGGAGGACCACAATGTGGGAGCTAGTTCAGACTCTCCTGAGGCAACCCTATTTATTTGGCCATGTCCCTTTGCCTCCTGTTAGTTTGCACGCCATAGTTTTGGCAGTTAAAAAACTTGGTCTGCATAGATATTTGAGGTTTATGTTGACAGTCTGGAGATGGGGCGGGCTGAAATAGATATGAAATAAATATGTTCAGTAAAAAAATTATGTTTTTTCCATATTAAGAAAAAAAAGAAAAAAAAATTACACATTTGGCTAATGTGATGGTTCAGGCAGCAGAGAAGGAAGCTTGGTACTCCATCCCAGAAGATGTTCTCAGCCAAGATCAGGGCAGCCCGGACAGCAGGGAGGCAGGGAGAGGAGCTGGCATGTCATCCATGAGGGAAAGTCCACCTGGGGAAGGGGAAAAAATGTCTGGGTCAAAATATACCTACTGAAAATAAATATTCCTGCCAGTATGAAGCACTGAAACCCAACCTTTTCAGGAGCACTGCAGCAAGGAAGCAGAGGTGCTAAAAATGTTGAGGCTAAAAGCAGCGGGAATTTAATGCTTCAGAACCAGAGCCTTTGAAAGGCAAGTCCTGTTTTCAAATCCAAGGCTTGTGAAGGCTGGTGTTTTGCTGAAAACCAGCACATATGGACTACACAGGCATTTCAGAAAATGTTGTGCTAACTGCTGTGTGGGTAGAAATCGCTACCCTGTGATTATGTGGTGTGACCACAGCCTTTTTGAAGCTTTTTGTGGTAAATGGGGAAAAAGTCCATAGTTTGAGTGGGTATATTTTCTAGTCATCCTAATAAAGAATGATTTTGGTTCACAGAAATAGAAATCTTACAATGGATAGTTCACATTAAAACGAGCCACAACCTAGATGCAAAAAATAAACAGATATTAAGAAAGACTGTCTACAAACTGATCGACTCCGTACTAATGCCCCTTATGCACCACAGTAATTCTTACAAATGGCCACAAACCTGAGGTGAAATAAGTCATTCTTAGGTGTTGGATTGACTACTTGTGCAAGGATGAATTTTAACCTCTGACACTCTTTTTCAACATCACTGCTCATGTTATGGTTACAGCAAGGGAAATTTTCATTAAACTTCCAGATGGGTAAAAAAAAGTCACCTTTGATTTGGACTGCTTTCTGACTTTCAAATTTACCTCCATTAATTTTTCTTTTCTCCAGCATAGTAAATTCACAAAAAGAAAAAAAAATGTGAAAGATGTGAAAAACTGCGTGTGCTATTGCAAGGACATTAATTAAACTGGTTTTAAAACTGAATTTTTGCAGTCTCCAAACTGCTTCAGTTTGGAGAAACATATTTGAAATAAAAAAATAGTTACAAAATATTTATGATGCAATTATAAACTGAAATCTGGCCAGCTTTTATTGTTGAGAAAACCGGAAAGAAAATCATTTCAAAAAATGCCATTCTTCTTTTCTGGTGGCTGTTATTATTTTACTCTTTTTATTGTTGCTGCCATTATTACGCCCTTCGCTGAGCGCTGAAGGCAGGATCCCAAGTGTTCCACAGGCGCCGATTCATTCTCATGCTGCCCCGCAAAGTGCTCACTCCTGCCTGCAGTTCCCAGGTCCCAGGTCCAATTCCACGCAGTTTTTCTCAGTGACAATCAAAACTAGCACTTCTTAAGATGGTTTGATATATTCAAGTCCCTTGCAGTGACCTGACTGAGTAGCTGCATAGGGTGCCACAATTGCTGCATCTCCACAGTTCCCTGCACTGTCGTTCCCTTAAGCGACTGTCTTGGCAATTAGCTGTATTGAACAATGGCATTGTCTTCCGAAATGGCAAGAGGACACCCTGAGCAATCTAACTCTGTGAGAAACAGGCAGGAAAGCAACACTGCCTGCTTTATGACTGTTACTATTACCTGTGTGTGTACGACTATCTGGTAAGCAAAGCTGTCTTGGGGTGCTACCAACAGTGTCTGTCTCCCTCAGCCTCCACCCTGCCTGAAAGGTCACCAGAGCAAGGGGAAAGGCCCCCATTGGCTGCAGAGGGCTTCAAGTCAAGCCCCTGATAGAAAAAAGTGAGAGTGAAAAGCAGCCATCCAAGTCAGTTTTAGAGAAATGCATCAAAACATGCATAACCAGCAGGTAGAAATTAAATCAGGCTGATGGAAGTTGCTCTTGAGACCACCCAATCCTTGCAGCTTTGCATTAGTAGGAAACCACCTTCCCTTGGGAGAGGAGGAGGCCAAGGGAGGAAAAAGCCGAGAACAAAGAGGGAAGAGGAGAGACAGACCGAGAGACAAAGGCAGGAAGGGAACAGACACTCCAGGAGCAATGAGGGGTCCTTGGAAAACAGCAGGGTGGGAGTGGGAAAGGACAGCCGTGCAGCAGCAGCAGCGGGGACCACAAGGAGGGGATGTGGGAAGTGGAAACAATATCAGAAAAGGAAAATAAGACAATGAAATGCAGCAGGAGAGAAAAGAAAGAGCCTGGGGGTCTAGGGTTGGGCAGAAGTTGATGGAGGAGAAACTGGAGCTGGGCAGCTGATTGGAGATAGCTAACAGGAGTGTGGAATAAGCGAATAGGGCACAAAAGGGGCAGAAGGAAACAAAAAAAAAAGTGATGATAAGACTGCAGAAGTAACTGCATCATGGCTAGAAAAAAATCGCAAAAATGCTAAGTACAGAACAGAAAGGATAGAAGGGGCAAAGGGGAGCATAAGTAACAAAAGTGAGGCATCAGAAAAGTGAAGCCAAAGGGACAGGAGGAAAGTGGAAGGTCCCAGTACAGAAAGCAGCTGATGAAAAGAGAGGGTCAAGAGGATGTCTGTGAAGCCAGAAGATAGGCTGGAGGAGTGAAAGCACAGTAAATAAAAGGGGGTGAAAAAACAGGATGAAATTATGTGGGAATCGGTTTTGCAGAACACTTGCCTCATTTCTGCACTGTCAGTGATACTCTTTTGTAGCCCTGTCTCTTCACAGTTCATCTGCCAGCACCTCGCAGTACATCTATCCTACTAAAAAGAAGCCAAGGCAATGATGGGCCCTATTCTCTAATCCCAGCTATATGATGTGTCCCACATCTACATGATCACATCCAAATGGTCATCTAGGGACAGCACCTGGCACAAACTATAACTTGTAACAGGCCTGGGTACTGGCTGGGAAAGCACTAGTTGGCATGGGCCAAAACCACACCAAGGAGCTCTCTAAGCCACACATGGAGGGTTGCAGGACAGAGTGTGACCTTCTGTCTCGGAATTATCTTTTTCTCTAGCAAAGATGCAGCCTGGGTCACTTGGAACATGAGACCTTCATTTGCTTTGAATGTTCCCCTCATGCTCTTCATCTCCCCCAGCATCCCTCCCTAGGAGCTGGGGAGAACAGTGGGACTGAGGACCCTACAGGCAAGCTGGGACTTGTCAAGCTAGATACCTGCTCCATATGCCCTGTCAGGGTCTGCCTGATCTCACTGATGTGTTGCACTGGGAGTGGTGCCAAAAGTCCAGGTATGAATCTCTCTCTTTCTTGGTGGAAAATGAGAACAAGAAAAAAAAAGACAAGAATGTCCAACGTATGAAGAACAGCACCTGATGGAGGAGTGCAGTCAGAGATCTCAGATTCAATGTGAGGTGAAAGCCAGATTTCTTTTATTTACTACAGATCAGGTTTTCACAGCTAAATGTGCATGGTCTCTTGCTGGAATTAAAGGATAATCCACCAGTGGCAGAGCTGGGGCAGATAGGAGAGGTAGGAAGAACTGGACAACGGGAGATCAGGAGAGGAGAGGAGGGAAGCTCGGCACAGGGTAAAGAAAAGCCACACTGGGAAGTGGAGGAGTGTGGTTTGTGGCTGTCTGTAGCAGCAGTGCCATGGTTCAGGAAGGAGGATGAGAAGGTGAAGAGAAAGTAAGTAGTGATGAGGACAGATAGGGTAATGCGAGTGTGTTACCATGGCCTTGAACCCTGGATAGGTGCTTGGGTGAAAACATTGGAGAGCAGACACCAGTCTTATGCCGCAGGATGCATGCCTGAAAAGCCAAATGAAAATGGGTGGGTGAATATTTGAATACTTGTACTTCTGCTCCACTGCTGTCTTCTGCATGACCAGTGCAAGGCAACTCTGTGCCCTGTTTTGAGGAGTCTTTCTGCCTGCCCCAGGCTGCCCTGATTATCTTGACAGTGCTTCCTGCCCCAGTAGTGCCCCCCAGCACTGCTTTCTCCCAGGCCCCAGCCTGGCAGTGTGCTTCTCTTGGACTGGTCCCCGTTTTGGCATCTGATTCGCCAATTTTGAGACAAAGAGAATAGTCTCTGGCACTTCCTATGCTTTTCTTCCTTCCCTGATGGGTGGCAGGGCCTGCCTCAAGACTGCTCTCTAGGTGAACCCTGGCACATCCCAAGGTGAGACACTCCACCAAATTCTCCTTCTTGAAAGACCAGTGCTTTATGCCAAGTTCCTGGGCACGCAGCCACAGGAATACAGAGAGCCTCAAAGTCATTAACATCGCAGGAGTCTGCCCACACCCAAAAGCACCTGTGAGGCACTTGAACAGATGAAACCATCGATGGGTTTATGAGAAGCAGTAACCGAGGGGTGGCAGCAAGATGCGCAGCATCTCTCTGCAGCCCTCGTGTCCACTTCCCGCGTGGAGTCCACAGTGAGGAGAGAGCATAGGGACCCCCAAGCACTCGACCAAGGGGTGTCCCGCCCCGCCGCGGACCGCCCCGCGGGGGCGGGCTGGGTGCCCCCACAGGGCGGTCCGCGGCGGGGCGGTACCCACGGGGCGGGGCGGGCTGCTGCGGGCCGAGCCCGGCCGGGTGCAGTCCCCGCTCAGCGCCACGCCGTCGCGCAGTCCCCGCGCCGCTCCGTGGGCTGCCGGAGCCGCCCGTCGGGCCGCCCTCCCTCTCCCTCCCCACCGCCGCCGCCTCTCGCTATGAATGCACGCCGGGCCCTGCTCTCCGCCGCCTTGTTCGCCAGTCTCCTCTGGGATTTACCTTGCTGCCTCCCGGCTTCTCTCCCCGCCGCCTCGGAGCTCGCCGCCTCCTCCAAAGGTGGTCGCAGCCGCAGGGTGCCGCGGTCTCCACGGGAGAACCGCCCGCGGCAAGGGGGACACGCCATGGGCCGGGCGCTCCCACGGGCGGAACCCCACGAGTACATGCTCTCTCTGTTCAGGACTTACTCCATCGCGGAGAAACTGGGCATCAACGCCAGCTTTTTTCAGTCATCCAAGTCCGCCAACACCATCTCTAGTTTTGTAGACAGGGGACGAGGTAAGTTCTGGCCCCCTCCACGTCCCTCGCTGTCCCGCCGGGGCTGCGGGCGCCCCTTCTTGCGGGGCCTGGTGCTGGGCGAGTCGGGGAGCGTTCTGCAGCGGTCACCGGTGCTATTCTCCACCCCGGTATTGCTGAAAAGTGCAGGTTTTTCGGTAAATTGGGAGACGCGTTGTTTTATTTTAAAGCAAAAGGCGCCGTGGCAGCCCTAAGCACTGCTTGTGAAAAACACGCGTGTTCCACTCGAATCGTCACGAGGTGGTGGGAAACACGTCCCAGCTTTGCAGGCGTACTTTGGGCGTAAATTCAGCCTTGAAAAAAAAGAAAATTAGTATCGGTTTCTTTCCATCCGCTGGAGAAAGGGTCTCTCTTATCGCCGCGGTTGCACGGCAAAAAGTTCAAACTGACCGAGGGCAAACATCTGCTGCCTGAGGCTGCCCTCGCCTCGGATCGCGTTATCGGGGTTACCTGGAAGAGCACCGGCCCCATCTGAGCGCGCTGGGGCTGGGGTCGGCTGGCTCCGCTTGCAGCCCCGGGGCTCAGTGGGGGGCGACCGAACTTGACATCTGCTCCAGGGCCGCACCCTTTGAGCCTGGTGTGTACGGGGCTGGTTCTCACCCACCCCCGGTCTGGGACTGGTAGCCGGGGCCGCTCCCCCGAGCCTTCGGCTGCCTCCCTGGAGGAGGGAGCGGACGTGGCGCCGGGGCCATCCGGGCCCCACGCCTTGCCCCCGCTCTCCCCGGGCAGCATCGGTGCCGCGGGGCTCCCGGGACCCCTCCGTGACCTGCAGCTCTGGCCCGGGACTCGTACTTGGGGCAGAGGGTGCAGGTTTCTCGTCGATCCAGAGTAAAATTTCCCTTCTGTAAAAACGCCTCCATTTTCCCCCCTTTTTTTCTTTTCTTTTTTTTTTTTTTTTTTCGTTACCCTGGTTGTGAGCCATTACGAACAGACTAATTAACAGGTTCTTAATGAAGGTTGTGCTTTCGTTCCTCCCTCTCTCCCAGCTCTGAAGACCCTCCCCTCCGTCCGCGCTCCCCGGGGCGCTCGTGTACCTGCCGGCGGCTGGCAGCGCCGTCCCGCCGCTGCCGGGGCAGCTCGCCTGCCTTCCCCCGCGTCCCGGCCGTTTTAGGGCAAAACACAGTGCCAGGAAAACTGCACAGCTCCCTGGACCTACACGAGCCGATGGCCCCCCAAACCGAACCGAACCCAAACCGACCCCCTTCTCCGCCTCCTCGAGCCGGAAGCCTCTCCCCGCCCACGGCCCCAAGGCTCAGCCCCTTGCCCCATCGCTACCCCCGGCTCGGGGGGGTTTCTTTCCCGCGGAAGGAGCTCGTCGGGGCTCTTCGCCTCCCGTCCCAATGCCCGTCGAGCCCCTCTGGGCTCGGGAGGGTGCGTGCAAGAGCCCACAGTGTGTGCTCCTCCGGGTCGGAAGAGCGCAAACGTTTCCGAGAGGAGAAGGGACACGGGTTTTGCTTTCCGCCTTCGCCTTATGGGGGTTGTTTTCTTCGTCGCTGTTGGAAGGGGGGGATGTGGGAGAGAATTCGCCTTCTAGAAATAAGGTTTCGAAAACTCAGCCGTCAGAAAGGAGCTGGCCCGCTCTTCCTGGCGGAGAGGAAACGGGGTGCTAAATCTGCGAGCCGCAGGAAATGGAGCCGCGATCGAGATCATCTTATTCTTGATAACCAGGTGAAAGACAGTTAATTTAACAAATTTAGCTCATCTCGCTGCATGTGAGATTCTACTCCGGGGGAAGTGATTTGCTAACAGAAGTCCTGGTTTGATTAAGGAAAAGCCTCACTTTTCCCCATTGATTTTGATTTGATGTGTCACAGGCTGTGACCTTCTGCTGGACCTTCTGAGGGTTGCTTAGCATCAAGCCACTGATTGGAGTATTTCAACTCAGTGATCTAATTGAGTGTTCATGTCATAACATATCAAATATTGTCTAGTCTCCCATAATGAAGCAGACCAGCCAATGGCACATCACCAAAAAACTTCAAGAGAGCTTCCGTTCCTCTGAAGTGGTAGCGATTTTACTGCCCACCTCCCCATGGGCTCCTAGCCCAGTTAATTGGCGAGCTGGAGTTGTGCTGATGGTGAACAATCTTTGCTCAGGGAAAATGGGGAAGGGGAGCAGAGTTTCTGTCATTTCATTTGCAGACAATATAGCCGCCCAAATGGACCCAATTAGATGAGCTGCTCTCTACCTAAGCGGCAGCTCCGCAGGGAGACGACGGTGGCTGTCCCACGTGCCACACGCCATCCTTCATGGCAGCATTTAGGGGGAACAGCAGCCCGGAGAGGAGCATGAGACAACTTTTAGTTCTGCCGAGAAATACCCTTCCCTTACGACGTGGGCTGCTGTGCCTGCGTGTCCCTGAGAGGGTCCGGAGGGACAGGCAGCTCGGCCGCAGCAGTCCCGAGCCCGCCCGTCCCACCATACTCCGGGGCTTCGGCGTGGACACTGACAAATACTTCCCTTCGCCTCTTGTTTCTTCCCTTCCCGCTTGAAGCTAATAAGATCGTTTTCAGGGCAGCTCGAGAAGGAGTGAAGCCGCACTACTGTGTAATATATATATATATATATATTTTTCCCCATCGGTAAAAAGAGAGTGCTGAAAGGGGGGAAAGGGTTTGCGATTCTCCTCTCTCCACCCCCTCCCGCCCCCCACTCGCTCCCCCTTGTTACGGTCGCAAGATCAGACAGGACCTAGCTGAATGTAGGAAAATTACTGTTGGCACATGAACTAACTCATTAAAACGCAGATGGTGCTCTCACTGGCCTCAGGACCCCCAGCATTGGAGCTCCACAGTAAGGCAGGACAATTAGGAGCTGCAAGGACTCCACCAGGCAGGAGAAAAAAAAAAAAAAAAGAAAAAAACGGGAGGGAGCTGGAGAAGGGATCTATAAACAAGCAATTCCACCGCTAGCAAGAAACCCGGCACGACTCGGAGCAAACCGAAAACAAAAAGGAAATGGCTGGGGTGCGAGGGAGCGCGATTTTCGAAGGGATCTCCCGTGGGAAGGGAGTGCCACAAGGGCCGGCTGCCGCGGGTTCCCCTCGCCTCTCTCTTTTGTGTCTGCAGAGCTGCCCGCAGCCACGGGACCGCAGCCCAGCTCCCGCATACGAAATGTTGCATTCCGCGCCTGAGGGACGGGGAAGTCGAAATAGGTCGAGATCGTCTCCTTTTTCCCTCCCCGTTTTCTTTGTGCGGTTTCGCGTTCCAGTTGGGAGGGCAGCTGATTTGGATGGGCAGGGGTTCGACCATCGTTATTTTGCTCTTGCCAGGAGGGTCGGGAGGGGGGTGTTGAGTAGAGGGGCAGGACAAAAGGGGGATCCAGTGTGCAGAGAAACTGGAAATGGCCCGGCTGTGCATGTGGCAGAAGAAAAGAGTGTAAATCCTACTTGAAGTTCATCTAGAGCAACATAGTCATGCAAAACAGCGGGTTTCTGGGTGGACGGAAAGCTGCAATGTAGCGTAATCTCTGCAGCGCCTTTGCCCAGGCAATGTTGTCGTTGGCAGAAGGAAAATGAAAAATAAGCAGGGAAGTATTTTAATGGGGAAGGAGGGAATTCACAACTGTTAATTATTTGGTGACCTTGTATTCGATTTGTTTGAGACCCTTATAAAAACACTAATGCAGACCAGACGGCCGGAGCACGGCAGTCGCTCCTCATCCCCGCCGTGCGCTCGGGGAAGGAGCGGGCGGCCCGGCCTGGCCTCGGCGTCCGCGGAGCCGGCGGCGGCTCCGCGCTCCCTGCGCCGGAGGGGTGTTCCAGGGGTCGATGTTTTACCCCCCGCACTGCAGCAGCTGCGGAGGGAGCTGCGGGAGGGAGCGGAGCGCAGCGTCCCCTCGGCAGCCGCAGGGGCACCGCTCGCCCCTTCCCGGTGAAAATTGGGGCTGTCGGCGGGGGGTATTTTTTTATTTACCTTTCGTTTGCTTGTTGTCCCTTGCGAAGGCGCGGGGGCTCGTGCAGGCAGTGCCGCGGGACGGGCAGGGCGGTGCGGGGAGCAGCGCACACGGGCCCCGGGAGCCCCGCGGCTCAGGTA